AGCCCATGGTCCCCACTGCCATAAACTCTCTATCTGATCTCCCTAAGAGTATAGAAGAGGAGACTAGAACTAAATAGCCAAAAGGTTAATTCTGTTAATAGGTGAACAGTGAATTTCCAGTATTATAGACCTCATAGAAGTGAGTATTCACATTTCCAGTTAATACATGTTGGTGGTTTTACTTTGAAATCTATCAGTCTGTATGAATCAAGTTATCGGTATGAGGGAATTTGTTCTGTGACCTAATTAAAAGGACCTATTTATCTGATATATGCAGAAGTTTGCAAGGATTTCGTCATCAGCTCGCTGACTGCCTTTTCATTTTTCCTTTAGTGGCTATTCCACAGTAAAGGTTTTGCAGAGTGCTCAGTCTGAATGTAATTAAAATGATGGTATATTTCATGTACCCTTTTTAGCATCAGAGCAAAAACATAAGACTGCACAGCTGAATTCCTTTTTACATCAAGAGCCTTACTTACAAGTGTGCTGAAAAACTGGTGGAAACTAGAATTTCCCAATGTGAACAGATGGAGGCTTGCCTCTTTGGGAAAGCAACTCCTAACAGTTTAAATTTCAGATTAATGTCCTCCTGGGCCTCAAATAACCACTGGAGAGCTCCACGTGCGCATAAAGGAACACACACCTTAGAGGCATTTACAAGTGGAAATCACTACAGACTGACCGCATGGGTTATAGTTTTCCAGGGCAGGAGGCCAGGCTGTATGACTTCATTCCTCACTATTTTTCCCCTTCCCCTTCCCCCCTTTTTTTTTTTTTTTTTCTGAAACCAAGCCAGAAGTGATTCAGTTTCACGCACAGAATTCATCAAGAGAATGGTTTCTCTCAGCTCACTGCTCTCCCTTCTTCTCCTCTGCAAGCTTCTCCACTGACAGGCTTAAATTTTTTTCTTTGTAACAATTAAAAATGCTAACTAGTCCAAAACATGACACCTGAGAGGCTTCAGCAGAAAGTCAGCATCTCCAAAACAATCCTTCCTTTATAATTATGTTTTGATGCTTCTCTTTTAGCCATTATTTTAAACTCTATTTTGAACAATCCCTGGACACGCATGATGCCTTTCTGTATTGTGGCATTTTGTCCGGGATTTTGCTGTTATTTCCTAACCAAAGTAGGAAAAAATACCTTATCAACACTTTCCACTGTTCTTTTCCCTCTGCAGTGTAACTTGCAGACTTTATGGTGAATCATATTCTCTTCTTTTATTGTCATGGAGAGATTTGTTGGTTCATTTCTTTTCCTCAGCCTGAATTCATTATCACTAGAAACTTCCAGTTATGGTGAGAAACATGCACACAAAATTATTATTTGCATTTTGCCAGGTACCTGATTATCTAGCAATATCTTTAGGTGCCTGTTATTCGGGATAAATCTAGCTGAATCACACCCCATTCTTGTGATAGAGACATGAATATTGCACAAAAGCCTCATGTTATTCTTACTGCTTTTTCCTGGCATTCATAGGAAAGATGTTTAGCTCAGTCTTATCAAGCCCATTTCTAATGTTTTTCAACTTTGTATCCACTGACATCTCTCCACCATTTCAGAAATATTCAGACAAACATAATTTTCCTCTATAAAGGCAATATTGAGTGGCCAGTTTCAGGGGTATTAGAAACATGAGATGGGTCTGAAATATCCATGGAAGGCTGTTTTGTTGCCAGTTGACGGGGTTAACACAAAGGGCACAGACACTAAGCTAAAGAAATAGGCTTATTTTACTTTAGTTTAAAGCAGCAGAAAGAATAAGCAAGGCAATGCACCTAGTCATTACTACATAAAGCTAGCTATGGTGATTAAGAAAGATACATCACCAATTGCCCTCCTACTTGACCATCACCCCGACCCGTGCATCAGCTGGGGAGCCCCGTCACAGCGAAGGGTCGGAGAGCCTGTCCCGGCAATTGGGAAGCCCTACGCAGGGCGTCCGCTCGTAGGTGAGGTCTGCGTCTGTGCTGTGAGAGGGCCCGGCTGTTATACAGTTTAACAAACAAGTCTAAACAAAATGCACAGGAGATAGCTGGAGGATTGACATGCCTCACTCAGGCATGTCCGGATCTGGCCAGGATCCTGGCACGTCTGAGGAGTTTCTGTTTTTCTTTACATTTGGGATTTATAGTTACTTCCTGTTGTTTACTCATAGTTCCCAGGGATTGTTCCCAGGGTTGCATTTCACGCTGATGAGATGCTGGTTGCTGGTCAGGGAATTCACTCAGAAGTCAACTTTGGTTTGAGGCCGATTGTTTGGGCCTCTTTTGTTTCAAAGGCACAGCTTATTTTCCTGTATCTTCCCGTGCCTTTGCTTCTGTAGGAACCCATGTGATTATTTTATAAGAATTTTTATTACTTATTTTAAGCAGGATTTATGCTTACAGAGCTACTGATCCAAACTCCATTTTATTACTGCTTTGTCCCACTAAGAATATCTGAGCAGTTCAGCACTCTTCCGTGGTCACAGTTACTTCTGGCATGAAGTTCTGGAGGAAGTATGCTTGTGGGAAATAGTCAGAAGGTAAATAGAAGTCTGAGATTCTCCCTCATCACCAAGAGGCTTGAAAAAAAACATTGAGAGACTTCAGTTTTCATGATCTTGCATAGTTGTCAGTGAATTGTAGGTCTTTTTTTCCTTTTCAATACTGAACAGACTTCTCATACTTGAGGAGACTTTTATATTGTCCATGAAGGTACGTGGGTCTATTTTTACTGTTGATGGGGTATAAGTAAAACTGACTAAATACCACTAGGACTGGAATTTCTTTTCAAATCTAGCTGCCTTCTCGCAGACTACCTTTTGAATTCCAGTGAGTAAGGTGTCATCTTTACCTTCTCCTATAATTGTGGCTACCATAGGTTATATCCACAGTTGAGCCTGAATACAACTAAGCTCTAGACAAGCATTATTTTGAGATGTACCAAGGGCATTCACAATCAACTGGTTGTCCATTTCATTAACTTGGAAGCCCCTCCGAGCAGAGGGCTGCGGGGCCAGGAGCCCAGGAGGCACTGCATGGGGAGGGGAATCACAGACTGCTGCCTTTGGGAAGGCAGAGCCCAGCAGCTGAGCCAGCCTTTCGTCTTCAGCCCCCCTGGACTGGGGTCCCCTATTGAAACATCGTGCGGAGCGCATTGCCCACCCACGTGGATGGGACATGGTGCCCGGTTCAAAGCCGGATGCTGGAGCTGGCTCCGAGCCCACAGGGGGCAGCAGGGAAAGGTCTTCTGTCCCTGTTCGGGCTGGAATAGAGTTCCTGTTCGTTTTGGTAGCTGAGGGGTGCTGCAGCACACGGAGGTTCCAGCGGCTCTCCAGCTCCCAGTGCCTTCCCCTGTGCGCGGGGGCGGGGGGAGCACAGCTGGAGGGCTGGGCCCGGATTGGCCGATAGTCCATGTCATGTGACACTGTGCTCACTATATAAGGTCAGGAGTGGGCCGAGAGGGGCTGCCACTTCCTGGGAGTGTTGCTGTGGTGTCTCTGTGTTTGGGATCACCACCCAGGAGCAGGCGGGTGTCAGTCGGTGGGTGGTGAGCGGCTGTATTGTACATTACCCATTTATGCTGTCACCGTATTATTCTATTACTGTTATTAAACTGGTTTTATCTCAACCCACGAGTCTCCCTTTGCCCCTCCGATTCCCTCCCCATTCCCAAGTGGGGGAGGGTGGGTGAGCGACTGCGTGGCGTTTAACTGCTGACCAGGCTCAAACCACAACAGCTTCTTTCCCCAGGAGCTGCCGTCAGCTGACGAATGGGCAGGGCAGCACAGGGGGACCCGACACACACATCGTGCTCTGGCTGGGATGCTGCCTGCCTCTCCCAGCACCCCGTGCCTGCCCGTGCACACACAGGCGCACGCAGTCACACACACATGGCCCCCATCTTGTGCCCACAGCCTTGCCCTGAGGATGCACATGCGTGGGGCTGCAGGGCGCACCGCGGAGGTAGCCTCTAATCCTGGTCATTCCTGCATCACGAGCGCTTGGAGGACGCCAAGCTGTGTAGCCTCGGGAAGCCTGGCTGCCTCTGGGGCTTAGAGACACCCAAAATCTCTTCCAGCCTCTGCAGGAGCCAGCACGCCCTTACTCCTTCCTCCTCAACTCTCAATTTTCCTCTGCCGTTTGAAAATATGGCAGCAGCTTCCTGGGCCTGGCAATGGGAGCAGCACACTATGGTTTAATATAGCATAGTCCTTTGCAAAATGTTAAGGAGAGCCTCCCTCCCCCATCAGTGCTGCCTTTCCCGTCACTACTTGTCGCAGAGTCAAAATGGACGTGGCAGGTTCTCGAAATGAGATTTATTCTCATCGAAACTGTTCACCACTCTGACAAGCATTAGTAAACTACAGGTTGGGATGTCTGTCAAATGGAACTACTACTACACAGCCCACTTAAGCTTCTCACCTGTGCATCTCACTCAGCCAACAAGGGGACGGCACTCAAACTTGAGGAGTTACCTGGGGGGCCGTCCCAGTCCCAAGCGAGACTCCCTGACTGCAGAGCCGCTGTTTCAAGGGGCGATGGCTCCATTTCCCCTCTGGCAGGGATCCATTTTATAGCCTGGTCAAATCTGATCTGTGACCATTCATGGTCAGCAGTCTAGAAATGGCTCCCAACCGAGGCATGCCGTTGGCTGAGGGCCCTGTCGGTCCACCGAAGGGCCTGGCCTTTCCCATAAGTGACCACGGTCACTACTCAAACCCCCAAACCCTGGCTCCAAGTTTTAACTCTTTCAGAGGTCAGGAGGTATCGGTCTGTATCAGAGTGGGTGCACCTGCCCCCCTACTGCAGTGCAGGCCACTGCTAACAGGAAGACTCAGCCTTTTGTAGCAAGGGGTTTTCACCAGACGCCCCAGGACGGCAGTGGTGCAGGGACAAAAAACACATCAGGGAGGCCATGGCATGAGCCCCACTCCCAGCTCGCAGCAGCCCCCACGCCATGAGCCCTGGCAGAGACACCGCTCTCCTGGTCGCATGGCCTGTGGTGACCGGCTGGCAGGACCAGTCCTCTGGCCATTTGCCCAGAGACCCCTCCGAGCAGGGGGCTGCGGGGCCCCTCCCGTGCCCGTGGCCGCAGAGAAAGGCAAGGCAGGCAGCAGCACGGCCACGCTGGCTGGGCCCAGGCACCAGCAGCCTTTATTTGGCACGTTCCCCTTGGAAAGGCGCTCCTCGCCCCTGCCACCCGTTGCTGGCAGCTCTCCGGCTGGAAAGGGTGGACGCCGTGACAGCTCCTCGGGGCTGCTCGCAGCTCCTTGGCATGGCGGGCAGTCCCTGGGCCCTCCCGCGGCGCTCCAGCAGCCTCGTCTTCTCCCCCTTGCTAAAGGACACAGCAGAAAAGGGCCTCAGCTCTGTGGCCGGGGAGAAGGGCCCCCAGCGCCCCAGCGCCCCAGCGCCGGGCTCAGGCCCGTAGCTCTCAGAGGAGCGGCCGAGCCCAGCCCGCTGCTCCGGGTGGCGTCTCGTGGGCCCTCGTGCCCCAACCAGTCTGCAGCGAGAAGAGCGCAGAGCAGCCGGGGGTGAAGCCGGGCAGGGCCGAGACCCGGGACAGGGCGGGCGCGGCAGCTGAGGGCTGGCTGCCTGCGAGTCACTGCGCGGCGAGGGCAAGCACGGGCTGCCGCCGTTGGGAAGGCAGAGCCCAGCCAGCCGAGCCAGCCTTTCGTGGCCAGCCCGGCCACCTCCAGCGCTGGGAGCTGCCCAAGGCTTTCCTCGGCCTCTGCAGGACCTGCGCACACTTACACTTCCCACGCTGTCTGCGGGGGGTGCAGCTCTGCCCGCCCCTCGGACGCCATCTGCCTCGCAGGCCTCTGGCAGCTCTCCTTCTCCTGTAGCCTCTCCTTCAGCTTCTCGGCGTAGGCCTTTCTCAGGAGGTGGGGAGGGCGATAGGGATCCTCGAACAGGTGGCGGCAGGAGGTCTGCGAAGGCAGAAGAGGCTCTCCTAAAGCACTGCCGCCAACAGCTGGGGCCGCTCCCAAGGCTGCACGCTTCGGCCTGGGGCCGTCGCGACGGCTCCTGCTGCAGGGCAGCGGGCAGGGCAGCGGGCAGACAGAAGGCCCCTGCCTGGCGCACTGCCGGGAGACCTTCCCTGCTCCCCCCGCAGGGAGCAGGGCGGGGAAATGCCCTTTGGCTGGCGGCTGCCAAGTGCATGCCATACCTGGCCTCGCTCCATGTGCTGCCCCGCTCTCTTGGCATGGTATTGGTGCCACACTTCCGCTTCCACCTCTTTGCGCCTGGATGCCATCAGCACCTGGTGCCGTTTCCCTGCCCTCTCCGCGCGGAGGGAGCCCGTTCCCTGGAGGACACGCGCACAGCACACACGCAGCGTTAGTCTCCCCTGGCTCGGGCAGGGCCGGGGGCTGGGACGGTGGGCAGCTCTTGCCACCTCTTCGGCCCCGGCCCAGGGCCCGAAATGTGCCAGAGGACTGGCAGATCCCTGGGGCGTACCATTCCTGAGGGCTGCGCGGCACATGCAGGGAGCTGCAAGTCTGGGCAGCCTGGAGGTCTGGCCTGCGTCAGGTCCTCCTTGGAATTCTGCTGGATTACTGGCAGGAATCTGCAGAGGCACGGCAGCTGAGCCTGTGGGAGCCCCGCCTGAGGTGCTTGCTCTGGCATGGGCTCACAGCCTGCCCCCGGTGCCGGCAGCTCCCGGCACTTCAGCAGGAGGAGCAAGTGTCGAGCAGGACAAGGTCTCCGGGGCCTTTTCTCCCCAGCACAGGCACCCCCGGCCACGGGAAACATCTCACTCTCACTACAACAAGGGCACAGTGTGCCCCCATGCCCCCAGCCCCACCGCTTCTCCAGGAGGCTCACCTGCCTGGGCCAGCTTCCTTGGCTGTAGCCTGTTCGCCTTCCTTCACCTGCTGTCTGGCTAGAGAAACCCTCCGCTGAGCCAGGAACACTGGATCCAGCACACTCACTGCGAGCAGGAGGCAAGAGAAGAGCACAAGAGCATCTTTGATAGTTGGGCAGAAGCAACGACCCCAGCGCAGAAGAGATTTCCTCCTCAGAGCCAAACGCGTGGCTTGCCAGAGCTACGCGGGCTCGGCCCGGTCACAGCTCCAGGCAGAGTTGCTGGAAGGCAGCGCCCAGGGCAAAATGGGACGCAGAACCCTTGGCTGCCGTTCGCCATGAGGGGCTGTCCAGCTCAGAGCCTCTTCCCAAACGGGTCGCCCGCGCGTACTAGGACGGCTGCGCAGGCTCACAGAGCTGCTTTCTCCTCTCGCACAACTCGCACAGTGACCCTGGCTCTCCTGCCCTCGGGAGGACGTGAGGAGCACCCACAGCCCCCTGCCAGCACTCGGCTGGGACCTTACCTCTGCGGGCACCCCCGCCCCAGGGCGCCAGATCTCTCGTGGGCTTCAGAGAAATCGTGGGGACCGATGTTTGGTGGGGGATCTCAAATGCAAGCCTGGAAACAAGAAGGCAGCAGCTGGGCAAAAGGCCACCCCGCTCCCTTGCGGGCTGAGACTAAAAACTGCTGGCAGGCATCTGTGGGAGCCACTGCCGAGTCCTTGGAGGCCACAGGTCTCTGTGGGGCCCGAGGGGTCCCACGTCCTCCTTCAGCCTCTGCCGCTGCTTCCCTCGCCTTCCTGCCCGAAAGCTGATGATCCCAGCACACGCCCTCCTTGCTGCCCCACAGACCCTCCCGCCTCTCTCGCTCTCTCAGCGCAGATCGAGAGCGGACTGATCGCTGCGTTGGCACTCTCCAAGCTGGGGAGCAGCCAGCAGCCACGGACCGGGAAGCTCTTCTCCTGGGAAGGAGCTGGTCTTGCCGAGTTTGGCAGGAGAGGAGCCTCAGCAAGAGGGTGCCCCCGCCTCGGGGGCTCAGCAGCTGCTCCCTTGACCAGCCAGGGGCTGCAGAAGCCATCCTGCTCACCTTGGCAGCGTGATGACCGTGTCTCGACTGCGACGACTAAAATCGTTTTTGCCCGCGAAGGCCACGATCCTCATCATCTTAGGGTCCTGCAAGGGGACAGGGACACGTCAGCAGACGCCCATGCCGGTTGCTCACAAACCGTCTCGCTGCTCAAAGACACAAAGCTGCCTCTCCGAAAGCCTCGCACCACCCTCTCCCTTGATGCCATCAGCCCCCTCCCTTGAAGGGGCCGAGGTGCTCCTGAGACACGGCCTAGCTCACGGGGAGCGTGTCTAGGCCAGGCGGCGAGGCAGGCGACAGCAGCCAAGAGAAAGCAGCTGGAGAGAGCTTTGACAGCATTGCCACAGAGGCACGAGGAGCAGCCCCAGAGAAATGACAAGCTCACCCCGAGAAGAGCTGCCAGCATGTTCCCTGTCCCATCCAGCTCCAGCAGGCACTCGTCCAAGAAGGTCATGCTGACCACTTTTTTTCGCACAGCAAGGATGCCGATGCCCTTGAAGGAGAGTTCCACCTCCTTGTTTTCTTGGAGGGCCTCGGCAAAGAGAAGCAGGGTCTCGTGTACGCACTGCTCCACGATTTCCGGGCGGAAGTGGGTTTCTGCAGCAATCTGCTTAAAGTCCAGCTGAACAAACTGGGTCTTGTCTAGGAAACAAGCGCAGAGCAACCAAGTCACTCCCAGCACAGTTCAGCCCACCCTGAGACGAGGTGCCATCAGCGCCCAGCCCTCGGGCAGCGCCCTGCCAGAGCGCGCTCCCCTTTCAGCTTCGGCCACGTCTCCAGAGCGGCCCTGATGGACAGGAGAAGGCACAGAGAGGCTTTGCCTCCTGCTGCGAGCAACCAGCTGGAGCGTAGGGTGAGCTGGGGAGATGAGGCTGGCTGCCCGGGGAGGGGCAGGGTGCCGGGCTGCCGTACGCGTGCCCATGCTCAGCACTCTCCACGCTGGAAGAGCCTTTGCTCAGCTGTGTCACGGCACCACGTCAGCACCCAGCCAAACGCAAGAGCTGGACAGGGGCCACGCCCGTCTTCTTACCAGGAATTTGGGTCTTTGCGTGCTTGAGGCTGTAGAATTTCTTCAGAAACCTGCTCAGCTGGAACACGGGTCTCTCAACAGGCAAAACCTCGTCCTCTCCCACCGTGGCATGCACCGGGGCAATTGCAAATGTCCCAATTCCGATCTCCACCGCCTGAAAACGCAAGCAAGAAGAGGGAGCATTGTCAGGGCTGCGCAGAGGCGGGAAGGCTGCCAGATGACTCGCGTGTCGCCTTTGGGGTGGTGCTTTGTGCCCTGCTCGGGAGGCCCAGCGGGGCAGGACGGGGCACGGGCAGGAGGCAAGGCTCACCTTCTTCTGCAAGAGCTGTCTCCGGATGTACCTAGATGTGCCAGCCCAGACTTGCTGGATTTCTGGAAAGCAAAGGAAAGGCACGCCGTGCTCTGAGTCAGCAACGGCCACCCATCCAGCAGCCCCTACCCACGGAGGCGACAGTGGCGTGCACTCAAGCCCCCTTGCCCAGAGCAAACCCTTGCGCTGCCGGGGCTGCCCAGCTGCGCTCTTGACTGCCCCCAGCCTCCAAGAAGCCTGCCCTGTGCCCGTGATGGGCCTGGGGAGGACAGGCAGGCATCGGTAGTGTTTTGGGGAAGGGGATCCCGCCCTTTCATGTGAGCAGAGGTAGCTAGAAGCGTGAGCTACCAAAGCCACCCTCAAGGCCCAAGTCTCCATCGGGCAGGGCTCTCCCTGCAGCTGCCGGTCCCCTCCAGAAGAGCCCTGCTACAGCCCCATCCCCAGGCTCAGCGTTTCCAGAGCTCACGTCCCCTTCGCCTTGGCTCCCACAGCGCTCCTGCAAGGGCCCCCTGGGGCCTTACCTCTGGTGGTGAGCTCCTTGAGGGTTGGGAGATCCTCAGGCCCCAAGGGGTTAAAGAGCAGGTACTTAATCATCCTTTCCCCCTTGCACTGCAGCATCTGGGGAAGCGGTGCGCGTCCTGCTCCAAAACCCCTCTGCTCCTCGTCTCCTTCTCCTCCTCCTCCTTCTCCAATCTCCTCCTCCTCCTCCTCCTCCTGGTCGCCACTGCCCAAGCAGCGTCTCCAAGGCTCTCCCGCGGCCTCCCCTCGCCTCCTCCTGGCAGCAGGGCAGCTCCTGCGGAGCAGAGCGCTGGCGAGAGCAGCCCTGGCGTTGCCCAGGCCTCGCCAGGGAGTGTGGCCGGGGGCACGGTGGGGAGAGGGAGCTGTCGCTGTGATGCGGGTGTCCCACTGTGACACCGCGCCGTGTCACACAGGGCTGCGGGCACCCTCCCCACGCTGCACGGGCAGGGCAGCCCCACTGGGCACCTCAGCCTGCGGCGCTGACACTCCCGCCTGCGCATCTCAACTCAGCCCGCCTCGGCTGCCCTCCGAGATACTCCTGGAAGGAACGCGCATTAATGCCGAAGGGGCTTCGCGCACTCGGAGCGGGGCTGGAGAGGTCCAGCCCAGGCCGCAGGGGGAAGCGACCCGCAGCTTTGCTCCACGAGACAGCACATCTTTAGCAGTTCAGAAGCTTCCCTTTGCAAAATGTATGTACCAAATGATCTCATTTTCTTCATCACTGGAGCAGCATTCCCACCTAAGCTCCTACTTCTTCCTATCACTTCGCCCATTTTGAGCTCCTTAAGAGTATTCGTTGATTTACGGGACATGACCAGAGAGCACTAAAAAAACCCAACATCCTAGGTCCTAGGTTGCAGTTGAAAGTTTCCATCAACACATTATTTCTAATCTGGAGCCTTCCTGAACAACCCAAGAGTAACAGCAAAATGAAGCTTGTGCTAGACTCATGCAAATCTCATTGTCTTTTCATCAGAATTAAGTTTCTTTCCACATTTTCCAGCTTTTGTCTTTCTTTGCCTCTACCATCCATAGCGATCTGAAAACCACTGACGACCCTTTTAAGTCAGGAGCCAGTTCACTAACCCCCGTTACAGAGTTCCTTTTTCTTTTTTTTTAGTTGTATTAACTCAAGAATATGCTCAGTAGTTTATTACTTCTAACCCTGCATTCTAGTGAAAGTTAAGATTCCAAGCTGATGCCATTATTGAAAATAATCATATTGTACTTCCTTGTTTAATGGTACCGAAATCCTGCTCCAAGATGAACATGGTATATATTTGGCTACTGAAAGGTCATGTTTTTGTGTACAGTTGTGTGCGTATATTAAGTGTGGTTTGTTTTGTCTTGTTTTTTTTTTTTTTTTTCCCCGGTTACCCTAAAAAAAGGGAATTGTGCTACCCTTGAGTTAGGTATATCAAGAGCAGAAGGAATTTTCTGCCTAAAAGATACTACAGTGAAAAAAAAAAACCAACATAGGGGCAATTAAAAAAATAAATTAAAAATCTATATTAAAAAATAAAGACTAGTTTTTGTTTTAAAAACTTAAGAGGGTTTTGGTTTTGTTTTACTTTGGTTTGGGGTGTGTTGCTTTTTTCACTTTTCAAAACTATAATTCACATGATTGAATTCTCTCCTTGATTTCAGTTAAACCCTTGAAAGTGCTGAGCTGTTACGTGGTTGTTTTGGTTAAAATTGCTACCTTACACTTCCAACAGTCACTGATTTTTCTCCCATACAGCAGATTAAAAGTGTTTTACAATTCTTTGTGGTGAAAATAGCAATATAAAGAAATTTCTTAATTCCCTTGTTTCTGTTCAGTGAAAGAAACCCATTTTAATTACAGTGTGATTAATTCCAATACCCCATGTGTGAAATGAAAAGGAAGATCAATGCCTCACAGTCAGATTTTATTGCTTGAATATTATACCGACAACACTCTAAAGAAGCACACTTTTGAAAGATTTTTTTAAGATTCGTACTAAAAGCAACAGCAGGAAAAGCAAAACAGCAAAACCCCCCTACTTACAAGAGAACAAAGGGGTTTAAGTTAATCCTGTTTTCTATATTGGTTGTTCTATAGACAGGCTCTGTCACATGTGACAGTGATTGGAGATGACAAACACCTTAACGCTGAACTTCCTCCTTCTTCCCACAGCCTTTATTGCTGAGCACAACACCATATGGTCTGGGGTATCCACCTGGTCAGTTGGGGTCAGGTCTCTTGGCTCTGTCCTCTTGGCTCTGTCCTCTCCCACATTGCCGAGCACCCCCAGCCTCCTCGCTGGCTGGGTGGTGTGAGATGCAGAGAAGGCCTGGGCACTGTGCAAGCACCGCTCAGCAACAGCTAAAACATCCCTGTGGTATCCACACCGTTTTGGCCACACAGCCAAAGCATAGCACCATGCGAGCTACTGAGAAGAAAATTAACTCAGCCAAACCAGTGCACTCTGTTAGCACTGTTCCATCTTGAATAAAAAGGATCAGGTGAAGTGTTGTGTCTCTTTTCCGTATGTGTATCTTAACTTTATAACCTCCAAGACTGGTTAATCTAATGTGTTAATTTGCTCTCAGGGCATATGCGAAGGAGGTTTACAGTGGCTCAATTGCTAGATGAGGGCAGGTAAAATTCATACTTAGTCATGATCATACCAGGAGGATCAGGTGAATTTGCTAGTTATTTGAAATTAAACTTCTGTGAAGATTATATTTTACTTTTATTTCGTGCTCCAGTCATCCTCTTTACCAATGCATTTGCCTGGTGAAATGTTTACAGAAAAATGCAATTATGTACATGTTTTTCTACCATCAACAATGTCTGGTTATAAACATCACAGTCTGCAGGAACATTAAGAAGAATTAGAAGTGTTCCCTTTGAAGTAAATGGCTTTACGGTAGTTTGCCTGATTCAAACAGCTTGGCTAAACCTGATCAAAATCTCATTATAACTACTCATTATTTTAGTTAACAAAGATGCAGCCAACAGCTTTATTAAGGATACTAAAAACTCTTTTAGGATTTCTGTTTGCCTTTTACTGCCACTGTTTGATATGCTAAAAACATTATACTTCAGAGCTGACATTCAGACTTTTCATAGAGCGTACAAGCATCTGAGAGCAATTTAATAAATAATAACTGACAAATGTGACAACAATAAACTTCATATATGAACAATGAGTAAACTAAAATACTATTTTAGAAATATGCTAGGAACTGAAAAACTGATTTTCTTAATTTGATGCTTGTGTATACATGATGAAATAAGCCTCAGTAAATAGTGAGACAAGACTATATCTGAGAATATCTGTCAGCTGATAGAGTACACTACAAACTCATAACTATTTTATACTTAAAATTTACATGCATTTTCTGAGGAAACTGAAAGTTTCTTTAGAATTTAGCAACAAAATCAGGGCAAGTGTCGTGGTTTAGGCCTGATTGACAGCCAACCACAATGCAGCACCTCTCTCTCCCTTCCCCTCCGGCAATGAGAAGGGACAGAGAGCCAGGCTTGGGGTTCAAGATAGGACTGGGATGGGGGAAAATCCCCCTTTCATGATCACGAGCAAAAGGCAGACTCGTTAGGGGAAGAAAAAAAAGAACATACATTTATTATAGACACTAACAACACATAACAGAGTAGGACAGTGAGAAGCATTGCCACATCTTGAGAACACCTTCCCCCCACCCCTCCCTTCTTCCCGGGCTCAGCTCTGCTCCCGATATCTCTACCTCCTCCCCCAGTGGCGCAGGGGCAGGGAATGGGGGGGTGCAGTCAGTGCTGCCACTTCCTTCATCTTTGGTGAGTTGAGTGTCCTAAACTTGTTCCCCCTGCTCCATCGTGGTCCCCCTCTCACAGGAGACAGTCCTCCACAAACTTTCTCTGACTTGAATTCCTCCCATGGGCCGCAGCGTTCCCCACACTGCTCCATCATGGGTCACTAACTTCCTCCGACTGGATTCTCTCCCACGGCTGCAGCCCTTCCCGAGCTGCTCCGGCGTGGGACTCCCCCGCATGCTGCAATCCTCCCAGCACTGAATTACAGCAGCGGGGCTACCTTTTTCCATGAGACCCCGGCCTTCTTCGGGCACAGAACCTTGATCAGCCAAGCAGGAACAACAGGCTGTAAATCAATGTCTGCTCCACCGTAGATCTTCATGGGTGGCGGGGGGGGGGGGGCCGCCCTGCCGTCTCACCACAGGATACAGGGGGGTCTCTGCTCCGGCACTCCTCCCCCCTCCTTTCTTCCTCCGTTCCTCCACTGACCTTGGTGTTCATGCAGCTGCAGCAACTCCTCCTCACAAGTCCGACTGCCCGTCACCAC